ACCCCCCTATCGCACGGCTATCCTAACGACTGAGTTTGTATTGCGTCACACTCACAGTTCGTCGTCACATTTGATTCGACGCGCCTGTTTTATAGATTAACACCTGATGTCTACCTCCGTAATGAACCAAACCTTTACACATTTCAGACACCAGGCGGGCTTTTTTCGTGGACTGTTAGAATGATCATGAAATGACAGCTCCTACGTAGCCTAGTTGGTTGAGCACTTGTCCAGTAAGCAGGCGTGTCCTTTCACTGAAGTTCTGAGTAGCTGGAATTCTCCAATCGACAGCAAGCTACTGTTTTTTTTCTACTGGCTGCTTGTAATTCTACCTGGTTAGCTGCAGGCTGAAAATGGTAACTTTCCCCTTAAGGGCAGTCAGTAAATATGACCGGCTACCTTGGATGATAACAGAATGGTATTTCAGTTTGAGGTAAATCCACTACATAAGGCATCGACCGCTACATTATCAAAGCTCAGCATGGTATAAACTCTTCAGTTTGCTACATTTGTTTGACAAATTGTCTATCAGAGAGGTTTGCTCCAGTTGTAAATCCCACGGTGAAAAATGAACCGAATCCTTACCACATTGGTCATGTGACCAATAAGTTTCCCTTCGACGAGTTGTTTATCCTACTTGTTTTTGAACTGCAGAGCGAGACGCTTCTAAGGCCACTAGTTTTTCTTGACTTCCGCCGCCCCCGCTCAACTTACGGTGTTCCGACTTTTAACACATATTGGCCGGACGAACTGCTGCCTGATTTATGGTTGATTTTGAACTGTTACATAGAAACACCCTTGATTCAAGTCAAGAATTTTGAGGTGTGGAACGCGATTGAGTCCACTTTGGTGAGCCGTTCTATAGGAAATTATAGGATGAACTTGGCGTGAGTGGGGTCTCATGAACTCGATGACTGGTGTCCCTTAGTTATAGATGTAGTGCTCTCAATATTGAGTTATAAACACGGGATATGAGCTAAGTAGAAGTCAGTTGGGGTTAACTAAATGGTGGTACTGGTGTACTCACTTACAGGCGCTTGGTGGAAGAAAGAACCTGTCTCGTGGACGAGAAATAAGCAGCAGGCTCACTTCAGCCGGAATGACACACAAAAGTGGACAGTTTCGTTGTCAGCCTTCCAAGAAGGTCTCAAGAAATCCAAAATGTTCTTGGCAGAGAGGATCGAGAATCGGTGCAGATAGATTATCACCAACTAACGAATACTTCGACAGCATGTTAGACTTGTCCACAGAATGTTCTTGATTGTATGTTGTGTGTATGAGGATTAAAGTAAAGCTTTTCGATTCGGTTTAATGAGTGAATACAGCAATTCTGGATCTAATGGAGAATCAGCCGGGAAATTTTTCTGAGATTTATATGGGAAAAGGGTGTCAAAACGCTCAGAACCTAGCGAAAGAGATAGTAAAGTAAAAAGACAAGGCCTCAGCAACCATCCACCGATCACTCGTCTTGTACTGAGGAGGGCGAGATGGCTCAAGTGGTTAAAGTACAAATTTACTGACCAGAAGGTCCGTGGTTCACGCCCAATCTCTGCCTTTCGACTTCTCCTGTCTAGGCTTGGGCAACTTGGGAGTATCCCAGTCCTCGTGCTTCCTTCAGGTAGCATGGAAACTAGGCACCGGAAGGGAGTTACAGCTGAACGATATTCTCACGGAAGAGGGAGAAAGAAAAACGAAAATAGCACAGGCTATGTCTCCCATGTTTTGGCTAGACCGAGGGAAAATGTAAAATCGGAAATGTTGGCCACCGTAGGGCTTCATTTAGTTAGTTCATTATTTCCCACTGTGTTATTGATGTAACAGCTTCTGACCAAAAATGATTCTTCCTCAAATTTGTCCCCAAAATTCAGCTTTGATGGATCATCCCTCTTACAGATGAATACAGTATTAGGTGCAATGTGAGGATGGGAAGTTCTCTGAGTTCTTACTCGTCCACCTGTTTGATTACTACCAGAGCATCACAAGGGCAAGGACTTGCACAAACGCTTCTAGGTATTCACGCTTTCTTCTATTTTGATCTATTTTCATCCATTACTTCATCAGGATATGATCCAGTATGGAATATTTCGCCCAGAGTGAGTGAACAGCAACTTGTTGTTTTGAAGGCCTGAAGGTGAAATGCAGCATGCTCAGGTTCGTAATCTTTGCGGTGATACTCGTTAGGACGGTCACCTGATTCGTGCATGTTCGTGGTTGACTTCCTGAGGTTCTTGCAATACAACTTAACATAATCCTGCCTAAGTATAACCTAGTATACATAACGCTTGCGATTTGTCTATACGTATGGAAAACTCAGCCACGTAACTGTGTAGTCTACCTACGTACATGCGTGTGCACGGTAAACTGATGCCAATCGAAACCTGTGCTCATTTCCAGATAATTGTAACCGACCGACAGATGCACGTTTTCGCCGAAACTCATTGTCGTTTATGTCTAGAACGATCCGAATTTCGCATTTGGGCAGCAGAATTGTAACAATGATTGGCATCACCAGTCGATCAAATTCGATACATTAGTTCCTGACGAGCGACTCATCATAGTCATTAAGACTTTGGAGGAAGCACACTTTCTGACTTTCGCATGATGAAGAGCGTGACGCGCAGAAATAGACCCGTCACATCAAATATGGCTTGGCAAACTTTTGTGTGTTTTCAGCTGCCAACACAGTATATAATCCGAATTCCCGTTGCGTATTCTATGAATTTGTTCTAATCAACGTGTTGTAGTCAAGCGAATGCGACCACTATGGCCAGTAATAATGGCTGTTGTAATAACGACTGTTGTTTTTGTTGTAATCATGACTGGAATAAAACTGTCTGTGTTTCAAGTGCTAATATGCGGTGGTTTGGCAATAATTAGGCGGATCCGTTGTTCCTGATAGTTCGGGAGGTTCCAGACGGACTAAATTTGCCCAAAATTACCTAAACTAAACAGAAGTGTCGCCGGGGCGTAGTTTATCTGGTCATTGACTCTAATCACAACGGACAACATCGAGACCCTGTAGTTGAAGCACGTTTTCTAAAAGCCACTTCATGTTTCAGCTTCTGTTAAGAAGCAGACTGACATAGGTGTGGTCTAAACATGACTCTCGAGATGCACACGACCTCGAAAGTGGAACCCAGTAAAATTGGTAGATAGTTCTCCCATGTGACAATCCAAAGCAGATGCCGACCTCAACATAAGCTGTTGATTTCGTACGCCGTCATCTTGGAGAGTAGACTGGGTGCCAAGGCTCCGAACCGCGGTGAGTGACTCACACGTTAACCATTGATGGATTCATCTAACTAGTGATCTTTTTATTCTGACCCGGTTTTTTGGTAGTATGCACAATAAATAATGTTTTTTTCTGTCACAGGAGTTTGTCACAAGAAATGACCTAACTTTTAGGCTTTATTGTTGGTTGACCAGACGGTGGTTGGCCTGTTTGCCGAGCTTGGAAACCGGTTTGCAAACGTTTCGTCCCCAGTCGAGGAGACATCGTCTGTGCGGAGTTGAGTGGTTGCTTTCTCCGTGCCTCGCTGCGTTTTTTTAGTTTTTGAAGAGTACCTAATATCCAGACATGTGATTGGCTAATTGGTATTATTGACCCGAGTGATTTGTGCTCTGTTGTGGTCTGTACGCCTCGTATTCCATTGGTTGGTTGGATGGGTGTTTTGGGGGTGTTCCAGGTCCGTTTTCGATTGGTCCGTTCCAGGTTTGTGTTGCGGGGATTCACTGCGGAGCTTGTGGCAAACACTAAGTGGGACAAACAGAAAGGAAGCTCTCTACCAGAATACACGAACAGTAACTTGCAACCAAAAGGCACCACCAACTCTCACTCATCTTCGTGCACGAAGGTCAAGGTGGACACCAATTCAATTGGAGCACCGTTCACGTATTGGCTCAAGCGAGAACAAAGAAAGAACGCGGATGCATGGAAACATGGCACTCCACTGAAAACGCCATCAACAGACACATCGGAAATGATCCAGTCTATTGACCACTACAAGCAAAAGAACTACGGAACTACAGATCACAGAGGCGGACAAACTAAAGCAAACAACCGGGCTGAAGCAAGGAAACTGCCCACAATAGAAACCGTCATCGCAGCCAACCGAATTCAAAGAAAAGAGACCACAACGCAACACAAACCCGGAACGGACCAATCCAAAATGGACCTGAAGCACCCCAAACAGCCATTCAATCAAATGGAGTACGAGGGATGCAGACCACAACGCAGCACAAATCACAATCGGGCCAATAATACTACACGAAAGATGTATACCAATTAGCAAATCACGTGGCAGGATATCAGATACACTTCAAAAACTGTGAAAAACGCAGCTGGGTAAGGAGGAAGCACTCACTTCACTGACGATGCCTCCTCGATTGGGTACGAAACATGTGCAAATCAACTGCCAAGCCAAGCTCGGAAACCAACTATCACCTGATCAACCAACAGTAAACACACCCGAGCTACACATATTTCAACGAATCGTTTAGGCTTTACTGTACTGTATTTATGTTTTCCGAGCTTTCTGGTCAAGACCATTATATGCCATTACAACATTTGGGCGTTACGGACAATGAAGTATGCTTCATCATTCGCTCTGGTGATCTGCCGGAGAACACGTGGGCAGAGGAAAGGTATGGTAGGATGAGATCGCCACAGCATGTATCAGTGTGTTCGGTGCGCTGACTACGCGCTGACAACGCTACTGGATAGTAGCGTTGTCTTGCTCACCGTGTGCAGATTATAGATAGGTTCAGAATTGGCTAAAGAACCAGAGGATTCAGAATTTTGCACTAAAATGAAGAGATTGATTAAAGGCGCTCCAAAGAAACGAGACGGCACTACAAGTGACTGCTAGTGACTGCATGGTCGTTTGTGTCTTCACTACATTGAATGAAGTCAACCATTTCAGACAAAACGTTCCCAAAAACGGATTCCGCCGGTTCGCCCAACACGTTAGTGAAAATGAAGTTCTGTAACTCACTCAGAAATGTTGAAGGCCGATGTACGTATTCGATTACGCGAGTTCATTTGTCTGAGAGAGGTCGATCGCCACTGTCAACGTAGACTCTCAAGAAATGTTGTGAACTCAATCAAGGAAGGTGAGTGACAAGCACAATCCTATGAAAATGCAGGTCGAATTCTGTCGAAATGTCGTTTCACTGATACTGTGTGTCATGGTATTCAGTCAGCTTATATGTGATAGCTGTTCCAGACACCCATAGAGAAGACAGAGTGGCCCATGCAAAAAAACAGAGACAGCATCTGTCCAGCTTATATTCCTTGGTCTCTGTTTGGTTTTTCGAAGAATTGTTTGAGTAGTGACGTCTTTCATTAATTCAAAGAGAATCGCATACAAGCATTGACGGGCCGTTTTAATTCCAGCACTTAACTCGGATGAAAGAGGGCAAAAATAACGAAATGACCGTAATGAGCACCAAAAGAGGTGTGCTCAGTGTATTTGTCCTCTTAGAGAATGTCTCGTAACGAGCTACGCCAACTTCTTCTGTGCACTGCAAACCTGAAACATTTCATGCCGATAGAATTTTGACTTTCAAAACGGAAGTGCTGCTTTTCCGGTCTCACCTTTCTGTTAGGTCATTTTCACGATGTACGGATAAGGATTGGTGAGCAGAGCGTGCTCCGGTTTCACCTAAAATCAAGGCGCAGCATTGCTGTTTTTCTGTGACACTGGTGAAAACTATGGTTGATGGTCGTAATTCAGCTTTGATCAGAGGTCTTGAGGTGGTGAAAAACTCAGCTGCCTTGCATCTGATACAACAACTAGTGAAATTCTGCAGGATGTAGGCACCATATCCGTCCGTTGTCAGCCGAAATTCAGATATCTGCCAAACCGGGACCGGAGGAGGGGGGCTAACCTCCTCTGTAGTAGCCCAGTGTTGACGGACTCGTTCCCCTCATGTATCCGAGCTTACGATAAACAGTAATTAGCGAATGCAACAACTACTGATGAATGCAATCAAATTTCTTGGATGTTCCGAGTACCAACGCTGGGAAGTTTTAAAAAGTCGTGGTCGGATTAACGTTTAATTAAGAGAAGCTCTAATATTCATGTGATTCTTGCAATAATTTAGTATGGATTCTAGTCTTTCAGTCAGAGCAACATCCTTGGCACAAAGTTGATTAGTCATCCTGGCTAATAAGCACTATGAACCCAGCACTTCGGAAGCAGAATTTAAACCATTCAACGGTACACTTTTCATACACTTGAGTCTGTATCTTACCTTTTCACTGACGGCAGCAGTGGACGATTTCGAAGAACGGGGTTCTCTGTTTTTGGCTCCGTTTGAACTGCTTAGCTTAGTACATTTTCCATAAGCTTTAATTCGTGATACGGTGGTGCTTTTTAAACTGGTCGTTTATATTTTTGTCCCAAAGATGATTCCCTCTGATACGCCGGGCTGTTGTGTCATTATCTCGATGCATGGAAACATGGCACTCCACTGAAAACGCCATCAACAGACACATCGGAAATGATCCAGTCTATTGACCACTACAAGCAAAAGAACTACGGAACTACAGATCACAGAGGCGGACAAACTAAAGCAAACAACCGGGCTGAAGCAAGGAAACTGCCCACAATAGAAACCGTCATCGCAGCCAACCGAATTCAAAGAAAAGAGACCACAACGCAACACAAACCCGGAACGGACCAATCCAAAATGGACCTGAAGCACCCCAAACAGCCATTCAATCAAATGGAGTACGAGGGATGCAGACCACAACGCAGCACAAATCACAATCGGGCCAATAATACTACACGAAAGATGTATACCAATTAGCAAATCACGTGGCAGGATATCAGATACACTTCAAAAACTGTGAAAAACGCAGCTGGGTAAGGAGGAAGCACTCACTTCACTGACGATGCCTCCTCGATTGGGTACGAAACATGTGCAAATCAACTGCCAAGCTCGGCGAACAGACCAACTATCACCTGATCAACCAACAGTAAACACACCCGAGCTACACATATTTCAACGAATCGTTTAGGCTTTACTGTATTAAGGTTATGTTTTCCGAGCTTTCTGGTCAAGACCATTATATGCCATTACAACATTTGGGCGTTACGGACAATGAAGTATGCTTCATCATTCGCTCTGGTGATCTGCCGGAGAACACGTGGGCAGAGGAAAGGTATGGTAGGATGAGATCGCCACAGCATGTATCAGTGTGTTCGGTGCGCTGACTACGCGCTGACAACGCTACTGGATAGTAGCGTTGTCTTGCTCACCGTGTGCAGATTATAGATAGGTTCAGAATTGGCTAAAGAACCAGAGGATTCAGAATTTTGCACTAAAATGAAGAGATTGATTAAAGGCGCTCCAAAGAAACGAGACGGCACTACAAGTGACTGCTAGTGACTGCATGGTCGTTTGTGTCTTCACTACATTGAATGAAGTCAACCATTTCAGACAAAACGTTCCCAAAAACGGATTCCGCCGGTTCGCCCAACACGTTAGTGAAAATGAAGTTCTGTAACTCACTCAGAAATGTTGAAGGCCGATGTACGTATTCGATTACGCGAGTTCATTTGTCTGAGAGAGGTCGATCGCCACTGTCAACGTAGACTCTCAAGAAATGTTGTGAACTCAATCAAGGAAGGTGAGTGACAAGCACAATCCTATGAAAATGCAGGTCGAATTCTGTCGAAATGTCGTTTCACTGATACTGTGTGTCATGGTATTCAGTCAGCTTATATGTGATAGCTGTTCCAGACACCCATAGAGAAGACAGAGTGGCCCATGCAAAAAAACAGAGACAGCATCTGTCCAGCTTATATTCCTTGGTCTCTGTTTGGTTTTTCGAAGAATTGTTTGAGTAGTGACGTCTTTCATTAATTCAAAGAGAATCGCATACAAGCATTGACGGGCCGTTTTAATTCCAGCACTTAACTCGGATGAAAGAGGGCAAAAATAACGAAATGACCGTAATGAGCACCAAAAGAGGTGTGCTCAGTGTATTTGTCCTCTTAGAGAATGTCTCGTAACGAGCTACGCCAACTTCTTCTGTGCACTGCAAACCTGAAACATTTCATGCCGATAGAATTTTGACTTTCAAAACGGAAGTGCTGCTTTTCCGGTCTCACCTTTCTGTTAGGTCATTTTCACGATGTACGGATAAGGATTGGTGAGCAGAGCGTGCTCCGGTTTCACCTAAAATCAAGGCGCAGCATTGCTGTTTTTCTGTGACACTGGTGAAAACTATGGTTGATGGTCGTAATTCAGCTTTGATCAGAGGTCTTGAGGTGGTGAAAAACTCAGCTGCCTTGCATCTGATACAACAACTAGTGAAATTCTGCAGGATGTAGGCACCATATCCGTCCGTTGTCAGCCGAAATTCAGATATCTGCCAAACCGGGACCGGAGGAGGGGGGCTAACCTCCTCTGTAGTAGCCCAGTGTTGACGGACTCGTTCCCCTCATGTATCCGAGCTTACGATAAACAGTAATTAGCGAATGCAACAACTACTGATGAATGCAATCAAATTTCTTGGATGTTCCGAGTACCAACGCTGGGAAGTTTTAAAAAGTCGTGGTCGGATTAACGTTTAATTAAGAGAAGCTCTAATATTCATGTGATTCTTGCAATAATTTAGTATGGATTCTAGTCTTTCAGTCAGAGCAACATCCTTGGCACAAAGTTGATTAGTCATCCTGGCTAATAAGCACTATGAACCCAGCACTTCGGAAGCAGAATTTAAACCATTCAACGGTACACTTTTCATACACTTGAGTCTGTATCTTACCTTTTCACTGACGGCAGCAGTGGACGATTTCGAAGAACGGGGTTCTCTGTTTTTGGCTCCGTTTGAACTGCTTAGCTTAGTACATTTTCCATAAGCTTTAATTCGTGATACGGTGGTGCTTTTTAAACTGGTCGTTTATATTTTTGTCCCAAAGATGATTCCCTCTGATACGCCGGGCTGTTGTGTCATTATCTCACGCTGTAGATCTATCTGTGTTCTTGGAGCTCTCCTTCAAAACTGACCCAAAGGGCGATAACAGGCACTGAAGAATCTAACACTCTTGTAGGACTTAGCCACCCTCACTGAATGTGCTTTGTTTCCACCCTCCAGTTTCTCAATGTATTGTGGGCGAATGAGACCACTTAAACCCCCTTTCGAAATACGCTTTTGGAAAGAGCTCATCATACTTGATGCTTGCCTTGATACTTGCCTTCATCAAAACTAAACCGAATTCAGCCAGTTAAATGACCACCCTAGGAAGTTGGACGACGGGTCGACGTCAGGAACTCTTCCGGAAATCTCCCCGGAAATCTTTCCTTCGGTTACTCTTTAGGCGGTCGGCCTACGTGTTGATACTCACAGAGAACCTAGTACTAACCCGCTTCCCCACGTTTTACCATCTCATTACTACCTACCGAATTGTCTATTTGATGTATGCACAGAGGTTGGACGCCTAGGTTCTGGGAGTCAGCTCTCATATTCTCCTATGCTTCCCGGAATTCCAAACCGCTGGGGTTTTTCGATGGACAATGCTGGACTAAACGAAGAGTGCTGAACATGCTGAGAGTCGCTCATCACGAATTTGTGATACTCGTCGATATGGTGCTGGAAAAAGCAACACAATGACCAGAATACGGCCCCTTAACTAGATACACTTGACTGAGGCCATTTTGGAGCGAATTCCCGAAAACAGCTTTGACCGTGGTATCGTTAATGTATGCTCGAGTACTCCACTCAGCGGACGTAATTCACCTAACTTGCTTGCTTGATTACTTTTTATGGATGTAATGGCTCTGACTGCAGGGGTATACTGCTAGGTGTCCTTGTGCTAACCCCATACCTATTTCCCGAAGTAAAGTAATGTAGTGCAAGCGCACCTCTCTCCGTAACTCTCGAGTGTAGTCGGATGCCTTGTTTACAAAGCCGTTGAAACCCTACATAAGCGTTTAACTAATACATCCGTGAAATATTTGTGTATAAATATCCCCGTGGATTTCCACAGTTTTTTTAATGCGGTACCTTTACCAATGAATTTGCAAAATCCAAGCAATGTACCTGAACACACTGACGAATAAAACGTAAATATTGCACTGGATAGGATAGGCTTTAAACAATGAAGGACAGTTTATACAAATACACGTTAGATGGCCGTTGATGCAATGAATACACTATGATGTTTACTCGTGGCATGGGATTACAGCTAGTGCATACGAATGTGATACCAAAATTCATGAAAACACCTCACTAAGGGTCAGGTGAACATGTAGGAAAACCTCTACCTCAGAAATGCTCACTTCAGACAAGTAGGCCAGATCGGTAACGTGAAACCACAGAGTATGATTTCTGTAATCTCACTGTGGGTCGCCAAGCAACCTAGCGGAGTTTGCAGATGCCTTTCGGTGTAATTTCTTTTCGGATGCTCGTCCTTCTCGAACTGTTTATAGCATGTGAAACAGTGAGCTAATTTTAGTCCCCTATGTTGTACTAGTTCGATTCCGATGTGTTTCTTCGAGGCGAATATTAAGCTTCTGTTTGCACCGTTCGCATGTGCAAATTTACCAGGGACGATGGAAGTTTCTTCCAGAATATTCTGTGCGTAGGTCGGAAGTTAGACACTACACTTAGCTGTCTCGACAGTAAGATGAAAAGAATCACAGAGATGCAGAGTGAGAAAGAGACATAACAAAAATATCAACAGCATCTGGCGCGAGCAAACTTAGATTCCACGCTGAAGGAATAGATGCACATGAGAAAACTGAGTTGTAATGCAGTTGTGCCTGACACACACCCATCAAATTTGTTACAGTTCCAGGAGAGGTTGTCTTGAGTTAATATGTCTCTTTTTTTACGACCGGTCACGAGTGTCCCAGTAGTCGGTCAAAACTAACCACAGAAGCAGATTAGCTAAACCTGAGTGGCCACCTCCCCTCTGCTAAGCCTTCGTACGGCGTGTGAGAAGGATTGAGATTTAGCTCGCATTGGACAGGCAGTAGACTGAGTAGTAGGCGCGAAAACCGTGATAGTGCGACTAGGTTGAGCCTATTTCCTATGCACTGAATGAGGAAAATTAAGTGTCTACAATTCGTTACATGGTGACACAGATTGAGCACCGTTTTCATCTTGTCGGTAGACAAGCAGGAAACCTACCGCACATTCTCTCTTTGAGTTTGAGGAAAGATATTCCCTTTGCCCAACTCGTTTCGAACTCTATTTTGTCCATTCCAAGTGACTGAAATGCACGTGCAGTTGGAAATACATAAAGCTGTGGGTGCGTACGTGCATGCGTGAGATGGACAGACCAAAATTAAAACTTCCAAAATAAGGCAAGCAGAAGAGGGCACGTATCACAT